GATGGGGACGGGCATGGGGGCAGGGACAGGAGAAGGGGCACGGGTGCGGTTCCCGCAGCCTGCGCTTCTCCGGACGGCGGTGGCTGCTCACGCCGTGCTCCCCGCCCCTTCATTCCCTCCGGGAGTGGCTTCACCAGGCCGCGGGAGTCTGCAGCGAGTCCGCTGGCGGGCCGGTGGCCCTGTGGGCCGATACGGGCGGTGAGCCGACCTTGCATTTAAAAACTGCTGCGTTTCCTCCCCCAGGGGTTTGCGTCCTTTTGGGCCTTCCCGGCAGGGCGGCCCCGGGCGGGGGGAAGCACGGTCCGCTGTGGGGCAGGGAGGAGGTGCTGCCGCCGGAGATTTCCCGAGGTGCTCAGAGTAGTTTTGCCTTTGACACCATCTCTTTTTTCCGCATCCCTAAGCACTGATGTTATCCTAGAGAACTGGATGTACTATAGTCTCCGTTTGTTGATGGCAGGAAATCCCCCTTGCTTTCAGGTGTTTCTTTTGGGTGCAGTTAAATAGCATATTATTGCATAAAGCCTTTCAGTTCTGTTCAAGTACTTTCTTACCAGAAAGTAGGATAACTTAGAGTAGCATTGCTGTACTTTGGGAATTCGTGAATGGTATTCCCTCTCTGTGTAGTATGAAAGGGAGGAGAATGAAAGCCTCTGGCTGGTCTCTGGTGTGAGGCATTCCAATGATCCCTTGGGAGAAACAAGAAAATTGCTTTTATTACGTTGTATAAATTACATGAGGCTCTTGTCAGAAACCCAGATAGAAGCTTGAATGGGGACATTTTTCGGCAAAGGTACTGAGAGCTAACCTTAGTTTCCTAGCTGTAGAGTTCTACGAAGTGGGTATTTTGACAGTAGTCACTATGTCAGATTTCCTGTGCTCTAGGGGTTTTGTTACAGCATGTACTGGCTTCAAGTAATTTTGTTATTGAAGTGGGTGAAATTGATAATGTGTTACTGAAAGTTAAGGGCTTTATTAGATATCAATGACCTTTTAAGTCTTCACCAAGCTGTGTATGTCTTTCTTCCCTTTGCTGTTTTACCCAGCCTTATTAGTGCTTAGTATCTTTGATTTCTTTTCAGCCAAAGTTACGAAAACCTCAAGGAGGGAAGCAAGAGAAAAAAGTTATCCATCCCTACAGCAGAAAAGCTGCACAGCTTGCGAGGGATGTACACAAACAGGAGAAGAAAGAAAAGTAAGTTGACTGCAAAACCTCTGTACAGACCAAAGAATAACATCACAAAGAATATTTCTTATTTGTGGTAGTTGACATGGACTGTTATGCTGATAGAACCATAAATAACAGAAAGGCCTGCATAACTTAATACTGCTGCTGGGCCATGTGAAATGGCAGGTTTACATGCATTAAATCAGGTTATACAAAGTGTGTAGTTCTGCTGCTTAACTCTGGGTGTTGTCCTTAAAAGTTAGATTTCTTGCCTTTGGTAATCTGAGTAGCACAATGCTGATGATTGCACATGAAGGTGAGTCACCTACTTTGACTTTACTTCAAGTTCAGTAAGAATCCTGTTTAGGGGATAGCTGCTTCTGCTAAAATGCTGAGTGAACAGAAAAAAACCCCAGAAACCTTCCTGCAGAAGACAGACTTCTGAATAAAACTGTATAGTTAACTCCTTTTTGGTGCTGTTCTGCTGTTCCATGGCAAGTTTGTTTTTCTGCTTTTGAGTTTTACTTCCCCCTCTCACAGAGGGAAAAAACAGCTGGTGAAGACTGGTCTTTAATTTACATTGTCTCAGCTTGCTTGCTATGCATAACTGTGTTTATTTAGGAAGTTACTCAAGCTAGCTTAAGCATTTTCCATCTTAGTATAGCACTGTATAAGCTGTATTACGCTGTATAAATTGTAGTGTCTGGATGGACTGTGTGAGCTGAGCCCAAATACTCATTTGTCTGAAGGTGTTAAAATGGAAACTCCTGGTCCAGAGACTGTGCAGTTTTGTTGTTAGGATTGATGTAGAACCTTATCCACAGCAGTTGCACCGTTGCTTTCACTACAAGGAGGGGCCTTTGCTGCCACAGTGGGGTCATGTAGCCTCCAGCAGAGATGCTGCAAGAGTTCACAAGTAGCATGTATTGAGGATTGGGCCGTTCTTTAATCTGCAAGTTTCCCCTGCTTTTTTGTATTTTTTCTGTGCTCTCTGACTATTGATTTTAAATTTTTATTGCAGATTATTTTCCTACTGCTAAATTGACCACTTTGTCCCTTAGTTCTCTCACCTCGTGTCTTAACAGCTACTCACAGCTCTTAATCACAAAAGATGCCTTAATCTTACTTGATTCTTAGTGCTTGCATTTGTGACTTCACCATACAGAAAAACATGCACAAGAAAACTTAGTGAGGGAGCTGTACTTACTGATTATTCATTATGACTTGGCAAAATCTCAAAAACTCAAATCTTTTAGTGACAGTCTCATGTGGTTAGAGTTACACTGATGGGGACACCAGTGCTGATGTTTCTTCTTGGAGTGTTACTGTAAGTCCTCTTGCAACAGCAGAAGGTTGAAAGGCTGTGCTGAAACTGAGGCAATATCCACTGCTCTCCCCTCGTCCATCCAGTTGTTGCGTAACAGAAGGAAATCAAGTTGGTCAAACATGATCTTTAATAAATCCATGCTGACTGCTCCTGATCACGTCCTTGTCCTGCATGTGGATAGAGATGGCCTCCAGAATGAGGTGCTCCATTGCCTTTGCAGTGATTTAGGTGGGCTGACTGGCCAGTAGTTCCCTAGGTTCTTCTTCTTGCCATCTTGGAGGACCAGGGTGACATCTGTTTTCTTCCAGTCCTCAGGCAGCTCTCCTCATGTTCATGACCTTTCAAAGATAATTGTAAGCAGTTTAGCCATAGTTTCCACCAGTTTCCTTGGCACTCAGTGGATGCATCCCTCAGGGCCCTTGGCTTTGTGGATGTCAGGTTTGCTTGGGTGTTCTCTAACCCAGCCCTCCTTGTCCAAGGGAGAGTCTTCGTTCTGACATTCCTTAATTCTGGTCAGAGATTCCTGGGGGCTGCTCATGGCAGTGAAGGCCCACATAAAGAAGGTGTCTGGTATTTCTGCCTTCACTGGTCTCTGTTGTCAGGGTTCCCTTCAGTTCAGTAAGAAACTCACATCAGCCTTAGTTTTCCTTTGTATTTGAAGAAACCCTTCCTTGCTATTTCAATCTAGGCTGATTGTAAAAGATGTAACCTTTCATTTTGCATAGGGAAGCCATTCCACCAAGAATAGTATGTCAGTTCTGACCATCCACAGCATATTGTGATAGCAAAATGATCTTATATTTTATATCTTTATATCTTATAAATAAGAGTTCTACATCTTATGCTTCTGGGGCCTGAACAGTTAATTAACATTCTGTACTTCGTAGATCACTTGAGTTGTGGTGTTCTAAAAATTAGTTGCATTAAAAACATACTCCATTTGTCTATATTCTATTTTCTGTATTGTCTTGGCTTGAAGAGCAATTTAATTTGAAAGACATGAATAATGTTGATTTTATTTTTCCTGTTAGTTTTTTTTAAAGACTTGGTAAGGGTTCCAGTTTCTTTTGAATCTCTGTTGTCTAAACGACCACCTTGGTAAATTCTCTGGGTTTTTTTTTTAATATTGGGAATTAAATATGGGTTGAACTTTTTATTGTAATTACTTAGCTTTCAGTTTCTGTAATATAATAGTGAGGCTTGGACTAATTTTGCAGTTGTCTGAAAAAGGCAAGATAAATTTCTGATGCTGTGAATGGAGGAAAGCTTTCCACTCCTACACTCTACACTCACACCAGTTTTGTTCTTCCGCATTGCTTCTGCAGGTCTATTAAATGTCTTTAAACAATTTTCCAAATTGCTTCTATTGAATGACAGCCCTGTTCTCTGGTAGAAGGTTAATACATCATTTGGTGGTAAATAGGAGAAGCTGCCTTGTAATCTCTACAGAATTTTTTTCCTTAGTCCCTTCTTCAAATCTCATACTTTTTTGACCATGCTTGTTACTGTGTAGAAGTAAGTTGTCTGAAGTATGAATAGGACACAAAACTAGAAACAGAATTCTCAATGTGATCTCACCAGGTCTGAGTAAAGGGGATAATTTTTCTGTACAGGCTAGTGCACTTCTGCAGAATGGAAAAACTGAATTAGAGTAGTCAGTGAATGCAGGAAGTCCATAGAGTTTGTCTGTACTATTTTTATTAAGCTGTGGATTTCCTTGCCAGAGTATGCTCTAATTGGCTGGCTAAATTTGTGCAGTAATACTTTTGAACATACATACATTTTATCTCTTGATTACTATTAAACACAAAGGTGTAGGGTGTAGGAAGCCCTTGACTGGCATGTTATTGGAGGGTGAGAATATCTTACAGAAGTACCAGTTAATGCTTTTAGTTTTGTGTGATTTGTTTATTTTGCTTTGCTTGTTTCAGTTTGGTTGGGTTTTGTTTGTTTTTTTTCCTTTGGTACTTGTCTGGAGACAGGATTCAGGACTGGAGACAGTTTAGGCTTCAATTTCCTTATTAACTTTCCTATAGGATGGAAGTAAAGAAATAAATACTGTGAATGTTCCTGATTATGTTACACAGGAAAGAAAATTGCACTAAGTTATGAGTTGAATATTCCAGCATCTTTTGCTGGAAGGAGATAGTAATAAGGGGTGGATATTATCCACAAGGAATTTCAATATTTAAAATGCACTGGGAAAAAGGAGAGAGAAATTCTGCATGAAGTCGCAGAAGTCTTTTATGGGCTCCATTTTCCACTCTTCACTGCAAGCATTTGTAACGAAATATGACAGCAGTTAGAAGTTTACTGTCCAGAAACTGTGACTGCACTACAAAAGACCAATCTTAACCATAATAAGAGAAGACAGACCAATTGCTTTTAGAAAATTGTCTACAATCTTAAATCATCTTGTTCACTTAAATTACACCTTTTTCTTGCCTGCATCCCTCTCCTCTCAATTTTCTTCAAGGTCTAATGAGCAGCGACAACTTCCAGTGTATTACTGCCAATTTATTCTCTCTTAATCTACATGTGAATCCTTATTCCTTTAGGCAGCTTGTTTGCTCTGTTAAATAATTACATGAATATTTTTATGAGACAGCAATAGCTGCTTCACTGGCAGTAGCAGAATGTTAGTCAGTAGAACACTGACTTTTCTACACTTTAGGAAACCAGATCATAGTGGGAAATTTATGAAACTTCTGTAGTAGTCTACATATATTATGTACATATATTACCTAGATATGTAGCTAGATAGCTAGATCTTTGGTAGCTAAAGCTAATCTAGCTGTGCTTTTTTTTTTCCTGTTGTTTTACCTCCTGAGTCAAAGCAGACCCATTCTATTGCACAATAAATTGCTTAGGAATACATTTTCATCACAAATAACACAAGTCTAATACTGGCATGTTCTGAGATATGAGAGCTAAGGAGTTGTTACAGTGGTGGGGTGGGAAGTGACCTTGTGGGAATAAGCAACCTTCAAATGTCTCCCAGTAGAACTGTGTTTGCTTTTTCTGAAGTTTTCCCCTGTCTAACCTCCTAATCTTTCTTGACCCACTGTGCTTCTACTTGCATTGCTTGCAGCAGTGATGCTTTGTGACATGTTCTTGCAGATTCTTCATGAGGAAAAACTGTTAGCTTTTAGAATTATTTATTTTGAAAAGCCTGTCTTAGTTTTCAGAGCCACAGAGGACATTTGTATGTGTGGATATTATTGGGGAAAAATACTGAGTTTGTAATCTGATTTGGGAAATACTTATACATTGTTAGCGTTTAGAGTAGAGCAGTTTAATACAATATCTGAGATAAAGAGGTGCTAAAGGAACATGTAGAATTTACTTTTTAAGTACTTAGTAGGCATCAAGAAAACCACTAATCATTCTTATTAATACTCATTGCTTAAGTAAAGGTTTTCTGGAAGGTGGGTGAAGAAGAAAATCATCAAGAAACAACAGCCTGGCACAAGATTGTATCCCTGGTCTTAACCTCTCCTTCCCCTAAGTAAAAGCTATTACTGATTGTGTGGAAGGAGAGGAAGTTTCTTTGACTCACCTGATTTGATTAGCCTCCCCACTAATGCTATTGTCTTCTAGCAGTCACTGAGGTGAGGTTTTTATGAAAAGTACAATAAGGCAACATCCAAGCCTATCATTCATTATTTCTCATACTGAAATTTGTTGTGTGCACCAGGAGAGTGAAGGTTTTTCTTCCAGAAGAAAATGGTGGTTCTGTACTTTGCTGCTTTTATAAATAAATGATTTGGTGGCCATAACAGGTGCAGATGGTAGTTTGTAGTGTTTTAGAATGTAGATGTGTGACATGATCCTGTTTAGGCAGCTTTCCTAGATGCCATTGTACCTTTCTCTGTGGCAAAGCTTTGCAGACAGGCTTGTCTGGCAGTGTTGCCTTGCAGAGTTCCCAGCAGGGGTTGCTGGTGTGGAGTTCCACTGAGTGCAGTATGCATCCTTTTCTTGGACACTGCTACCATCCAAAGCTCCCTCCTATAAGTCCTCTGAGGATAAAAGCCTGCTCAGCTTTTATTGCCCAGCTTCTTCTACACATGCTGGGGTATCCATACAATTAAAAATTTCATTAATATGTTAGTGGAATTCTCAGCAGCTCACACATGTTGTGTATTTCCTTGTACATGGCTTTTAGACAGTCTTCAGAGGATTAAATACTTCTTGAAAAATCTAATATTTATTTAATAATGTAGGTTTGTGGACATGTAACACAAGTATGTTTGTCTCTGGAAGGTAAGGGGTTCATCTTTTGATCCCAGTTTTTGTGGTAGGTGACAGACTTCTGTGCTCTGAGTTACTTCAGTTAGCTCTAAAATACTCATTAAGTTCTACAGAGTGAAAGGAATTTAATAAAGGAGCACAATAGCTTTGAACAGTGCTGAATTTCAGCATTATTCATTCTTTGTCAATTACAGCCTTTATGATTTACTTAATCCATTACCAAATTTCCTATTTAATAATAAAAAGTCAATTTCATGAGAGATCCTTGAATATATACGCTGAATATGCATGGCTAGGGTATTTTTTCTAGTGACAAATTTTGTACTTACCCAATAATGTCTTGTTTTTCCTTTCTAGAAACAACAGAAAATTGCAACATCTTTTGATGCAGATTGCATCTCACACCTTGAGCATGACAAAAGAGCATGAGGCGCAGGATTTCCTATTAGAGAACTTGTTTTTTTTGGGAACTCCTGATTAGGATGAAAATTAATCCTAAATAGAACTGTTTACCCATATCCCATAGAGCACAGAAGGCTTTTGAGTATCCTGCCAGAGATTCAAGTGGACTTAAAAGTACTGTGAGACAGAGCTGGGTTTTTTTTTCATCTTCTTTAATGAAGTTGTTAATTTTGGTTTCTTAGCACATTAACTTACTGTTTGCTAAGCACAAACTTTAATTATTGCAAGTTTTAAGGTGACAGAATGGTATTTTTCATATTGCCTGCTTGATTTGAAGGAATGCAGTGTAATGAAATCTCCCAACTCATTAGACATATCAGAGGAATATCAGAAATACTTAAGGAAATTGTGACAGTGCAGCTCTTTGGTGAAATAAATTCCTTTTGCACTCAGAGAAAAATTTTGCATCTTTTTTTCTTCCAAGAAGCTGTTTAGCTTAATAGGTAAACTGGACACATTTCAGATAGTAGTTTTACTAGAAAGTAGATATTTTAGATGAAACAGAAGTTTTACATTGTTTGGAATTTGTCAAATATTTCTATTTGAAATTTTACCTTGACTTTCACTATGACTGAAAAAAATCCCAACTTTTTAAGAATAAAATTAAGGTCATTATTTATATGGTACTCATTCCTGGCTAACATATCTGGTTTTTCTCTGCTAGGTTGAAGACTGACAAAGCTTTGCGTTTAAGCATTATTGGTAAGCAGAAACTTTTATTAGTGACTACAGTATTCAGTTTCTTGGAGATTCTAAGTTTCACCAACTTTTTAGACATCCAATTAGAGCTTCTTTTTCTGAAATGGGATTTTGCAGTCTACAAATAGACTTGACTGAAATAGTGAAATACCTGACATGTTCACTTAATCTGTAGAGGATTAAATTTGGGGCTGAGCATAGCTAATCTTTAGTCACTGTACACAACAGCAAGGCAGTATAGACCAAATGAGTGTTTTGTACATCTGTACACATATTTATTGTATTTGTAATACAAATACAATTAAGCTTTTATAATTGCTTGTAAAAGAAGATGATATATGTAGGTTAAAGGACACATTGTGTTAGCAAATAAATCCAAAACTTTGAGACACAACCTGGAATATTTGTCTCTTCCATATGATTGATCCTGCATCTTTTCAATTTAATCTGTTTAAAAACAGATGTGCCTATCAGGACTCTTACTCAGCCACTCTGTTGGCTTTTTTTCCCCTTTCTAAGTTTCCTTCCTAATCAATTGATATAGTGATATTTTAATTAATTTTCACTAAAACAAAGCCTAACTTTTTTTTTTTTTTTTCCTGTAAGGAAAGTATAAAATAAACCTGAAACGATGTGGGAATGTTTCTATTACAGCTGCCTTCATATGTGGTACCCACAGTATCAGAGCCTATGATGCCATTCAAAATCTTGAAAAATGGGGGGAGGGAGGGGGCATTTGAAAAACTTTGAGAAACTTTAATCTGTATTGATGCTACAGTGTAACCATTAATGTTAAATTTATTCTTGTAGGAGAAAAACTGCAATGGTTTCAAAGTCACCTTGACCCCAGTAAAATTGAGTACACAAAGAAGGAAGCTGGTGAACTAATTGAAAAGTAAGACTGGTGTTAAAAACCTTGACTTGTCTTTAAAAATAATGGATGATGACTCAGGAGGACTTTTATATATTCCTATTAATAATATCAAGTAATTGATTCTGTTGCTACTGACAAATATTGAGACATTTATACAGTCATACTAGAATTATTCAAATAAGTCGTATTTAGTTTCTTTTTTTTAAGTTATTGAAGTATATCCCTAGTTTTGTAGTATGTGGAGGTCTTCAAATGATTTGGACAGTAGTAGTAACATGCACTTGCTTGTTAGGTTGTTTATTCTGTGACACCTGAACGTGCAGATTTTATACTAGTTACTCCTTGAGTCTCCAATAAATAAAGAAAATAAATTAGAAAATAACTACAATTAGTAAAATAATTTATCAGAGTAATTCTGTTTAAAATTGTTTTTGTATGATTGCATTATTATGCATTTTATTTCTTTCAGTTATATGTGTCGATTCAATGCTGAATTGGAGCAGATTGAATTACAAAACAGCATTAAAGGCAGACAAGGAATACAGCACGCTTCAAGGGAAGCTGTCATCAAGCAGACAATAGAACGTGAAAGACAACTCTATGAGGGCTATGGAATAGGTATGTAAAAGCATTAGAAAGCATTCAGTCCTCACCTGAATGCTCACCTGCTCACAAGGCCAGAATCTAAGCAAACTTTCTGGGCATTGTCCTTATTTTTCTCTCTCAAGAAATTAACCTAAGTGCTAGGTGTGCCTTGGAGTTACTTGGGAGGAGGGCCACGGTGAAGAGAAGGAGAAAAAACGATGGTGGAGATCTTGTATATTCTACTTTTGCCTTTGTGCATCTTTGCTAGTACTGTATTTTCAGTGCAGGCATCTATAACCTATTTTTGAAACTAAAGCGAGCTTTTAATGCACCTGCCTTGAATACAAATTATGTTCAGCTTGTTTGGACCTTCCTTTGATAGTTGGAACTAGGCTGAAGGGAAGCAGCAATAGTTTGGTGAAGTAAGGAAGAAAGAAAAAGAGATAATGAAAATGCAGAAAGCAGAATTGTTTGGGGATAGTCAAGATAAGCAGTGGAGTGTTTGTATTTTGCTTTAACCAGTAATGTGCATGTTGAAGCTGAGTTAATGCTAAAGTATTATCCAGACATAACTGGTCCTTCTAATAGTAAAATATGTTGTGGAAAGCATGAAAAGTCTACATTATTTTGTAGTTAGGATACAAAGCACAGCAAGGTTTGGGTTGCGTGTAATATTCCCTGGTCAGCTGTCCTAGCTGTGTCCCCTTCCAGCTCCTTGTTCACTCTGCCTCCTCGCTGGTGGGCTGAGGTGAGGAGCAGAAAAAGGGCCTTGGATCTGTGCAAGCCCAGCTCAAGACTAATGAAAGCATCTTGTTTTCATCAACACCGTTTCCAGCTAATCAAAAGTGCAGTCCTATACTAGCTACTTCAGAGAAAATTAATTCTACCCTGGCCTAAATCAGCACACCCTGATATGTATTGTACAGATCAAGAAAATTAATGGCTTTAAAGTTTTGTCAGTGCAGCCTACAGAGGCAGAGGCATTTAGAAATATCTCTATGACTTAATCCCTTAGAAAGAGGGGGAAAAAGTAGTAAGAAAAATAGATTCTGTGATTGTCATCAAACAGCTCAATTGTTAAATTTTAGTTCTTTTTTTCCTTACTGCTTTGTGGAAAGCTGATAGAAAAAGGCAGTAGGGCTAGAGAAAAAGATGTCAAATGCACAAGCACAACAGAAAAATAATGAAGAAGCTAGAAATATTGTAGGCAAAATTTGAGGTTATTATAGAATTAGTAAGTAAAGCATTCAGAGAGCACAGTGCAACTTCACATATTAAATATACTTTCAAATCATTCATTATTTGTTACCACAGCTGCTGCAGGGTTTGCTCTCTGTCTAAGACATTGTTCATTCAGAGAAAATAGTTGCTGCTAAGTACTATAGCAACTAAATACTGTAATTAGAGATTGGGCATAAATGGAAATCAGCTGGAAACAGTGCTTTTATGTTTTGGCTCATTATTAGTCCTAGAAGCTTTAGTAAGCTTTTATAACTGACTTAGATTTGTTGGGTTTTTTTCCCCCCCCTGTTCTTGAACTCAGTTATTTCTTGTATGCATGTGCATTTGCTATGAAGAGACTGGATTATATGTATTCTTTTCATTTAGGAAAGTACTTAAATTTGATGCAGTCTATTTGTATCATAGAATCAATTAGGTTGGAAAAGACTTCCAAGATCATTAAGTCCAACCTTTGACCAAACATTGCCATGTCAACTAGACCATAGCAGGCATTTCCTCTTGTCCTGTCAAGGATATACGTAAATGAATAACTAATCCTTTACAGAATGTAAAAATTTGTTTACAAAAGTGGTAGACATACTGAAATAAACTTTTTTAAAACTACTGTTTTTAAACAAACAGTAGCTATACAGAGAACATTATTAGTGATGTAGTTGAGGTTTAGCAGCTCCTTGTCACTTACTCCTTAAATATATCTACAGTAGTTTTACTGCAGTTTTTTCCTTGTTTTAATTTTGTGTACTAGGGTTTTTTGTTTAGTCTGGTCTTACATGTTTATAGCAAAGCTATTGAAAGGTAATGCTAGATAATTGTTTATTTTTTTGTAACCCAGGGTTGGCATGTTTTCAGTGGAAAAGCATCATAATTATTTCATGTGAACATCATCCATTTTTGATAATTTGCTTCTAATTACCTTGCATGTTCTCTCAGATGCATAATACTAATCTTGGGGGAAAGTGGCTTTTAAAACTAAATACACCAGTTTTGTTAATTAGTTCTGGAGGCTTCACATTACAGGGAAATCAATTTAATTCAGATGAAAGCTGTATCATTCCATGTATCTGCTAATGTAACTTCTGTACTGTTCATTAGCCACTGTTTTCTGTAGTGATCATTATTGTATAACGGAACAATTTTTTGCCTAAAAAGCACCTACAGTTTCCTTCTTTTTTAACAGACTGATTGTTCTTGCTCAAAAGAAAGAAAAGTAAAACTATCTGAAAGGGTCAGAAACATTTAAAGTTGTTTACTTAAATCTTTCACTGCTGTTTTGCTAAGCATGTAAATTGTTGAATACTTTGTCTTAGACATGCCAGACAATAATCTACTCCCAAAAATACTGTGTTCATTTCTTTCCCACTAACTCCTGTTCCATATTTCTCTCTTACATTTTTTCTATCTTTAGTTCAAAAAAACATGCTCCTCTTAACATTTTAAAGCAAAGGATGGAGTTCACAAGCAGCAGCAAAAACCATGACATTGGTGCATGCTAGGATGAGATGCAGCTGAGTTAGACAAATGTTACTAATCCAGCATAATTTAGAAAATCAGTTACTGTGCAGTATATAATTACTTTATTTCTACACACAGTTCTATTCTTAATCTGGCAAGTCAGTAGTTTTTATTGTGTAACATATTGTAAACACACATGTAAGCGTAGCTTTAAAATTTTTCCACTGCCAATGCAGTAAAGATGAATTCAGTGCCAAATCTTGGGTTTGTCACAGAATCTTCTCTCTTCAGAGTGCCTGCTTTCTCATGGTGTTGGTGTGCCCCAGATGATAGGCTAGATAAAACTGTTAGAATATTTTCTTTGGAGAAGATCTACATAACTTAGACCCAGTAAATGTTTTTTTTTAAAAAAAAGAGAAAAACAAGTGAAAGGGCTTCATTTGAAAGTCTTGTCATTTAGTCCTGGTTTGTCTGACAAGAACACTGAACTGTATGTTCAATCCATGCTTTGATAAAAGAAACAAATACAAATCTCAGCATGGTGCCACTTGTGCCAAACTCAGTGTTTACAACTAGAGGCAAACAGAGTGGCATTGATTGCTCCTTGTAAAATACCAACTGGGATGTTCCAGCGCTTGGCACTGTGCTGCCATGAGTGCAGTTCTAGGGACTGCAGAGAGAGCAACAGCAACTATGGCTTTATTTGAAGGCTTTATTGGGAAAGCCTAATGTGGTATGGATATTTGGCATGGATTGTGGCATGAACCAAGGAATCAGCAGACCAAAAAACGCATTAGGCAAATTTTTCTTTGCCTTGCCTTGCCCAGCTGTGAACAGTATCACCTCATCTGCTTACCAAGGGGCAGTCTGCAGAAATCACTGTAATTGTTACCAAAACATTTTACATACATTATTGTTCTTCAGTTGGTAACTTCATAACCAAGTGTGAAAGGAACCTGCATAGATAGCATGATCTTATTTATTACTGTAAAACTTGAGGAAATTGATAGATGAACAAAGGCAGATCTGTTTGTTCAAGGACAGTATAAAAGTTGCTTTAATGCCAGAATTTTAAGAGCTAAAATAAAATTAATGTAATGCTGCAGAGGTAGAAAACATCTGTCTTGTGAAAAGCCTGATGGCTGTGAAGTCTGTACAGTTCATAGACAGTTATGATGTGTTTTATAGTGTGGGAAGATGTCAAAGCTCCTAAACTCCATATATTAGTGGTGATGCTAAACATGGGCTGCTTGTAACACTGCAGGACCGACCAGGAAAAGAATGACACTGAACCAAGGCAAAGCAGCTTTGGCATCTTGTTGTAAAAATCTGCTTAAGTTTATAAATTACAGTCTAGTAGGAAGATTTTGGCTACTCCAGGAGGAAAAAAGCAAAATGGTCTGTTCCACAGGTCTAAATACAAAATACCTGCCTTCCTTTTTACAAGCAAAGGTAATGCAGATTTGTAGTATTATTTATTTGTATTATTATTTATTTTAATATTTGTATATATGTATGGCAGGTTTCTTTTAGAGCAGTTTGTCTGCAATGGAAAGAGGATATGTAGCCATTTTGGTTAGAGGCCATTTAGCTCACATTTCTTCCTTTGAAATAAGACTCACTTGAATAATGTAACACATCTAATAAAATTTCTTTCCCATTAGAAATCCCAGACATTATGAACAGAAAGCATCTTAAATTTTTCAGGTAGGTTTGTTATTATCACTTATAATCTGTTTTATCTGCAAAATACTGTTTCTGAAGTTAACCTGTTGTCTTTCTTCATAAAAAAAGTAACTTACGCAAAACTGCCAAGGAATTTGTCTTTTTGAAAAGCAGAGTAGGTATGGCGCTGCTATTTTGGCATTTCTTAGCTGTTACAAGCTGAACACTTGTGCCAGTTATTAACTAAAACATTGGAAGATTTAGATTCAACAGTTAGAATGCCATTTCTGTAACTTAAATAACCTTTTTCCTCAATATTCTCAGATATTTTACCTAAAATGATGACTTCAGCTGTTCACAGTAGTGTTGGTATGTGTGTATATACTAGTAGAAAATCTTAAACGAATTTACTACTTGCATCCAGTTAAAAGATCTGGGAGTTGTGAAACTTGCTGCTGGCTCATCTGGGCCAGCATGTTGGTGTGTCCTGGTAGTAGTAGATGGAGTGAACATTTTTGCTGACAGCCTATCAAATGAAATACTTTAAAGAAAAAAAACAACAACTTAGGAATGCTTGTGTTGCAAGGATGTATCACTGACTCGCAGGGATGATAGCCAGAAGCCATACTTAAATGAAGCCCTTGAGAAAAATTATCCATGAAGTGCACTTACTATAATGAAGAAAGCATTCTATTAAATGCTTTTGGGTTTGATTTATATTTGAAACAACCCTTTCTCCTTCTTGGAGCCTTTTGAAATGATACACTCACCATGTGAATTAGTGCTTACTAACCCTTTGTGCTCTCTTGAAGTCAGTCATACAACATGTTAACGTTTACCATAAATCATGAGGGAACTTACATACATGTTATGTTGCATATGCAAATCAAGCATCCAGGTGAAGAAGCTCTCCTGACCTGTTTTTCTGTTGCTTACCAGACTGCACGTTGAATAAGACAAACCTAAAAGCAAGTGGCCAAAAGTAACTGAGGGTACAGTAAGTCTATGGGAATAAAGTGAAAAATGTATTTTTGTTTCAGAATATCACATCTGAAAGTATTTATTTCTTCATAGAAAAATTACAGCTTCAGTAGTGCACAAAATCAGGTGAAATCTTTGGTGCTTATTCATATCACAGGGGGACAGAGGGTAACTTAGAAAAGCAGCCTCACTTGAGTTAGCATCTTCTGAGGAAATCAGAATTAACTCTGCCATGCCTTCCTTTCTATTGGTAATTGGTTTTCATTACTTATTTTTTTCTCTTTAAGAGAGTGGGATGGTGATCTGAGGAAACTGCCAAACATCAAAATGAAAAAGCTGTCAGTTAGGGATGCTGCCTTCAGTCACCTTGTGGTGACAGATGCAGAAGCAAAAGAAGACTTGAATGAAGAGGAAGACGTGGGCCCTGATGAGCAGCAGCCGATTCAAGAGCTGAAATAGTAAAGGGAATTGTTAGAAACCTATTTTAGTTTTCACTGGAAAAAGAAATAAAATTTAACTATATTTCTAAAAGCTTTGTTAGTTGCTTTTTTATTATCTCTGTACCTATGGTAAAGAGTAAACAATATTACTGGGTAAAGCTGTATATTACTGGATAAAATTTTTTGACTATAAATAAATACTTAAAATCTTAATCGTGTAAGTTTATGTCTTGAAATCCTGACTAACTGAGTCCATTTTCTGTCTAGATTCAGACTGGAAAACTTTGTGGTCAGAAATCCTTACCTTTTTGTGGTAATTGCAATAATCTGTTAAACATGAGGAACTCTTCTCTTGTACCTTCGTTTCTTTGAGAATCTGTGTCAGGATCATAGAGAGCTGGAAATGCTTCAATAAAATACTGAGTATTTTATGTTTTGTCAAGGGAATTTGAAAGAGTTACTGTCCTCAGCAATGTGTATTGCAGAATTCAGATAAAAAGCCAGTCAAAGTCCCCACAGACCATTTTTAAATATATCTTAGTCCATTTTTTTTCTCTAACCCTTCTGTGGAAAATTGAATTGAAGCCGCTCACGACTTTTCAATAGCAGGCTTGCTTTATGAAGCAACCCTTAGATGCTTTTAAATGTGTCTTTCAGGAAAGTTCTTAGCAGATTATTACTTTAAAAGCTGTAAAATGAATAAAAAGGGAAAAAGGGCAAGGGCAAAACGAGGGATAATTTCACAGCAGGCATTAAGTAGGACATCTCAGTGCGTATTAGAGTGTCTGGGCACGGAAGTCACAGCTCAGCTGAACTGTCTACACATGGCAGTAGTCACAGCTCAGATGCCTGTTAATTATGTGGAAATAATTATTCCTGGTGGATGATCTTTCTAGTACATGATCCCTTCTTACTTCTGTGTGCTAAACAATCAAGTCTTTGTTACAGTAAATAGTTATGTAGGTTTCCCAGATTTCTTTTACAGACATCCAAGTGTGTATTTTCATAGCTGTGCAGCAAGACTTGCTGATGAGTGTGAGTTTGTTAATGTGTATATTAAATTCTTCCCTCTTTACAGATAGGCTTGTGCTACCCTTTCATGTTATAGGAAACCAGTCTGTTTAGTTTATATAGAACTAACAACTGTCCTCCTTAAATGATTCTAAAGAATAACTTTTACAGACCTGGAGCATGGGTGGGTAATGTAATTCATCTTCAGGTGCCTGCAAGTCTTAAACCTGGGTAGAGGTCTTGGCCTGTGACACCTGCCACACCTCCAGGCCATCACATCACTGCTTTATGTTTGTGTTTGAGAGATCAGTGTGCTGAAGTTCATGGCAGGAATTTTGTATTTTTATATCTTCGTTAAATTGTGCTGTGTGGCAGAATGTATCTTGTTTTGATTTATAAAACTTGAGGTGTTAAACTGTGGTAGAAGCTGAGCCAGGGTAATTGGACTGAACTAAACTTGTGTATGTGGTTGTTTCAGTGCTTTGACAGATTCTGCATTTGGAAGTTCATTGTGAATTTCTGCTTGTATACAAAGTCTGATGTTTGAGATTGCAAGTAAAAACATTGAGTCACTTTCCCATGACACTGTGTAAAATATGGAAGAAAAATGAACAGGTAACTCAGTAACTGGAAGCTGTCATAGTAATTACAGTATATTAGGCTGACATCCTGGTGAGTGCTTCAAAAGATTGTCATGCAAAGTTATGAAGAATGAGATATTCTATATTCTTCTCAGCAGAAAAAAGTTCTCTGCATAAGGAACCTTCCAGGTTAGTTTTCCAGTAAAGGACAGTAAAATGCTTACAGTACAGTTAGGTCAAATCGGCTTGTTTGATCAATCTCAGCATGATACAATGCATACATTTATCTTTCTATCTTTCAGCTCTTTCAAGAGCAAAAATTCATTATAGCCAATTTCCAGACTTCCACAAAAGAAGCAAGTTTCATGAAGGTAAGAGACACTTGCTAATGAGGTTCTGTGATTTATGCTCTGCAGTTTAAGCTGTTGTCTTAAAATCACCTGCCAAAGTCCTGTGCAGGGTTCCTCTTATGAAACTGAACATAAGCTAATGGTAAGACACCATAATGGTCCTGGTAATCAAGTTACCTAAGCCTTGACTGCTTGATTTCAAACACTGTCCAATTTTATTAAAATGGAGGGTTTAATATGTAACTAGTTACCTGTTACGAAGGAAAAATAGAACTAATAAAATGATTAGACTAAAATGACAGCATTAGTTTAAAAACATAATTTCTACATAGTAAATTTAGCAATAACAATATTGCTAAATAAAAATGGAAGCATCCAACTAATGCCAGCTCTTATTCAAGTTCACACAATTAATGAAGACAGTGCCATGCTGATTTGAAAACTGATAAAGTGAGGATGCCCATTGCTAAGATATCAAGTGTTAAAAAAAAATCTTATCTATACTTTTTAATTAAATATTCTTTTTCCCTAGCTCTCAAAATTTGGTAGCAAACCTAGAGATAAATTGGCACTTCTTCTTTAAAGCTTTTGCCTGAATTTCTAGACTGACTTTTTTTTTCTGAATTCTGCCACTTTGCATTTCACTTCTATGCTGTTTGTGAGCCATTATTAAAGTTTGTTGATCATGTTGTTTACCATATTCCCAGGTATGTGCATGCACAGATGTAATGATCCATGTTTCATTATAGAAGTACCTCCTCAAATTATTAGTAATTTACTTAACACACTTAAAAATTACTGTGACCTATCTTCTTTGGCTTTTATTTGGAATAGTGCTGATTACTTTATTTTCATATATATTAGTATATATATTCATATATAGTCCTGTGGTTCAGTTAGTATCAGTTACAGGTATCTGCAAAGAGCAAAAGGGCAAGTTTGTCCCAGGGTCTGTGTTCTCCAGCAGACTGGAATCATTCTGTTCTCAGTCAAGGTTATTTTTTTGAGCTCTGTGTCATAGGTAGCAGAAATGTGGTACACCAGTGTTTTTGGCAAGTTCTTTGACAATTTTTTTGACTTCTAGGAAAGTTCATTCTGCTTCACAAAGCAGAACAGCCTTAATATTTTATTGGCTGGGATGTGTGTATACAGACATCAAACTAAACAGAAATGTGCTTTGTGTTCTAACAGTACCCTTCATGAAGAGATTCAGATTCTTGTGTGGAAAGCAAAAAGGCTTAGGGACCCATACCTCTGCTCTCTTAATTATGAAACCAAATTTGGCTCCACCTTTCCACGTGCTAATAAATGGAAATTAATATAGCTTTACTACTGTAACTTCTTTGGTGATGCTATTTCTTCTGTATCTTGCAGGGATTTGTGAATCCATTTGGATTTTACATAGTGAGCTAGTTAGGGAAGCTTTAAGAACATGAACAAGTGGCTAGCCTTGGATGTACAGAATGAAATTTGTTAGAACATTACTTCTGTGTTTTGAACATACATTCTTACCAATCATCAGCCATGTGACGACTTATTCCAGCTAGAATTGTGGCATTTTGAAACTTAGCCCACTCTCTCCCCAGCTGACCATCTAGGAGAACAATACAGGGTAGGTGGATCTGTACAAAACTAAATCTGGACTTTGGTTGGAACACTGTTTTTGTCAAGCTAAAATATTTTCTTTGGTTTTACACTTCACAGAATGCACAGGCTTTTTCTTTTTTTTTTTAAATAATGCAAACATGCAATGTTCCTTTTCATTTTAAAAAATGTCTTTAGGGTTTTCAAAAAGGAGAAAACCTCACCAAGTCACAGTATAAAATAATACAAAAAGGAACATGATCCATGCTGACAATCTGAGCTGGAATTAGCTTTAAAGTATGTAACTGTCCAGCCCATATTTAAAGCTTTTATGTGTTGGACATTCAAAAATCCACTATAACTGTTTGTACCAAGGTACTGCTTTCCTTAGGAAATTTTCATCTTACCTTGCTGGAGCCAAAACCCAGTGCTAGCTGTCTGTTATTCTATGGATGCAAAACCAGGTCCTTTCTAGGCTTCCTTATAGGGTTGAAGCCTGCAAGTTAAGCAACTATAAGTCCTTTCAAGTGTTTTTGTACTATGAGGCAGTTTCCTGAGCATTCTGCCAAGATGGGGTAAAAGCAGCCCCTTGCAGCTTAGCAGGTTTATCAGTATTAGGTAAGCAACTGAATATATTGTTCACCTTTCTTGCAAGAGTGTGGTCTTGCCAATTCATGTTCAGCATGTGACACTCTAGGTAACAAGGTGACAAATGTAGAATACTGCAGTACTTTGAGTAATTTGTTTAATACAAATACATTTTTTCACAACATTAAGCAGATACATTATTTTTGTTTCCCTTACCTTCTGTCTTCCAGTACACATTCACCCACAAAAACATACACTTTTTCTTTTGCAAAAGAGAGGGAGTTAAACAAATAACACAAACTTGTAGTTCCGAATATTATATACAGTAAAATATTTTCATCAGAATGTAAGTTTCATTGCATTATTGGAAATTATAAACTGTTTGTTCTGGAGATGGGGAATTATTATTTTTTCTACACAACAAAAATAAACACTACTGTCAGAGCAGTGTGTGAATGGCACAGTTGGACTAGTCAAGAATCTTTGTAATGCTACTGATAGTCAAAAGTAGTATGTTTATGCCAGTTTGAAATAAACTTTATAATGCTTTTAACTTAAAAACAGGAAAAGAAATGTGCATGTTCACAGGAGTGAATACAGGAGTATCTTTTTTAAACTTCCAGCTCTGACCTGCACCAAATTACTTCTACCTACCTTTATTAAAACTTGGTTTAAACAAGACTGCAGATTAAGCTGTTCTTGCTAATGGCAGCTCAGAGCCAGGTTCTGCCCTTGTGGGTATAGCCAGGCCGAATTTCACTGTCAGCATATTTGCCAGAGCTGCACTGTGGCTACACAGGACTTTGATACGGTTCTTTATTTGAGATCGCATCTTCATTAAAAAGTCTTTAGACTTCATCTTAAAACCTTCAGTATACTGTTCTGTTTAGTGTATTTGTTGGTTTTTGGTTTTTTTTTCAGGATAGAATACTGTGGTTAATAAATTAATACAGAAAATTGTACTTTGTGTGGGAATGGAAAAGTATTGGTTGATAAGCATCTGTCTAGTTTCTCTATCCGTGTACTTTCCTTATTACTGAAGACCAGAATCCAAGGCATGGTGGTATGAATAGCTCCTTGCCCTCTTGAAGAGGTTGTACCCTGCTTCAGAAACAAATTCCAATCCTGCATGAAATCCCTGAAAGCTCTAGAAAATCCAATGCATCTAAGAAGAGAAAGGGATGCACAGGCTAACACTGTAATGCTTTAAAAGGTTAAAGGCTGCTTCAAGCCAGCCGAAATCTCTCTTGCTGGTGACTTGTCTCATTGTCCATCTCAGCAGACAGTGTTCAATTTTGCTCCTTTTCCTGCTGTCCA